CCCAGGCGGGTCTCGAACCCGCGGACTCAGGTAATCCACTCACCTCAGCCTCCCAAAGGCACGGGATTACAGGCTGAGCCACCAAGCCCGGCTGAGCCCATCTTCTATGGGAGAAAAACTGTGTGTTCTTTCATGCAACTACCCAGTCCCTTATCCCCAAGCTCTGCATTCAAGGTATAAAGACTCATTTCCTTTGGGCTTTCAACTCCAAATTCCTTGGAAGGACAGAGATGACTGATTAATTTTGAAATTTCTAATAATAAGAACTTGAGAAATTATCCTTAAGGGGTAGAGTGAAGACTCTCAACACCAATTATGATGACATAATGCTTTAAAAGAAAGAAACCAGGTACAGTGGCTCACACCTGTAATACTAGCACTTTGGGAGGCCAAGGCGAGAGGACTGCCTGAGCCCATAAGTTTGAGACCAGCTTGGGCAACTTGGCAAGAACTCGTCTCTACAATAAATCAAGAAAAATTAGCTAGGCATGGTGACACATCCCTGTAGTTCCAGCTACTCTGGAGGCTGAAGCAGAAGGATCGCCTGAATCCAGCAGGTTGAGGTGGTGGTGGCTGTAAGTATGCCACTGTACTACAGCCTGGGCAACAGAAATAACCCCCCCCCCAAAACAGAAATAAGCTGCGCATTGTGGCTTTTTGTAATCCCAGCACTTTGGGAGGCAGAGGTGAGAGGACTGCCTGAGCCCACAGGTTTGAGACCAGCCTGGGCAACATGGCAAGATCTCGTCTCTACAATAAATCAAAAAATTAGACAGGCATGGTGGCACATGCCTTTGGTTTCAGATACTTGGAAGGCTGAGGCAGAAGGATTGCCTGAGTCCAGCAGCTCGAGGCGGTGGTGGCCACAAGCATGCCACTGCACTCTATCCTGGGCAACAGAATGAGACTCTGACTCAAAAAAGAAAAAAAAAAAAACAGTGTGAAAGTCCACATGGATACCAGTGTACCCATGCTAGCCATCCTGTAACCTATAATTTTTGTTGTTGCTGTTTCCTTCCTCCCTCCTTCTCTTTTTCTTTTTGAGTCAGAGGTCTCACTCTGTCACCCAGGCTGGAGTGCAGTGGCACGAGCATGGCTCACTGCAGCCTTGATCTCGTGGGCTCAGGTGATCTTCCCACCTCAGCCTCCTGTGTTGCTGGAACTACAGGCATGAACCACCACGCCTGGCTGATTTTTTGATTTTTGGTAGGTAGTATTGCTACATTGCCTGGGTTGGCCTCCAAGTTCTGGGCTCAAGCAATCCTCTCACCTTGGCCTCCCAAAGTGATAGGATTGCCAGCATGAGCCACTGCACATGGTCTCTGAAACCCATAATGTTTAACTGCTAAACCCACTCAAAAGCAGCCAGGCCTCAGCAGAGCCCTGTTAGCAGTACCACCTGGAAGTCAGATGGTCTGCCCAGGTCATTCTTACATACACCTGGATCAGGAAGGCTCTGAACTTTCACAAGGTTCAAGAAGATGACAGTCTTGGGGAATGCAACAAAACTAAACATTTAAGCCAACTATTCCAGTATGAAAATCTAACCCTAGAGTCTCCTAAGATCAATCAGCTCTTGCCTCTGGCCCAGATCACTGGAAACCAGGGATTATCCAAAATATCCACAGCATTTCTCATGCTTTGTTATCCTTATACACGCTCCTCTTTTTTTGCTTAATCAAATCCTCCCCGTCTCTCAAGACCCTCCGTTAAGTCCTATCCTGTTCTTTCCTTGAATGCTTTTCCCATTTCTCTTCTCCGAAGTTTTATAAACTTAGTGCGTACCTGGCTCTC